CCCAGCTACCCCTCTCCACCAAAACAATAGCAACAACAAAATCAAAGATCCCTGAGAGGGATCACTTGGATCCCTGAAATCACTTGAATCTGTTGCTTTCAAAATGTTCTTTTATTGAATGTGACTGAGAGGATACATAAGCAGAATCACAGTGTGATAAATAAACTGGCTACTATACCTTATTAAAGAATATCACAGCTGGGCACAGTGGCACATGCCTATAATCTCAGCAACTTGGGAGGCTGAGGTAAGAAGATCGCAGGTCGGAGGCCAGCCTCAGAAACTTAACAAGGTCCTAAGCAATTTAGTGAGACTCTGTCTCAAAATAAAAAGTGTTGGGGGGTAGCTCAGAGTTTGTAAAACACCCCTGGGTTCAGTCCCTACTTTACTGATCACATTCATTACTGAACAACTATTTCAAAACTTTCATGTGAAAAATGCCCCAAATACCTACTGTTAGGTCGGTGGCAGTGACTTAGAACAAACCAGCCTGCACAGGAAAGGAACATCAATCAGGTGCTGGTGGAAACGCCTGTCAATCAGCAGGATCTCCTGACATCCCCTGGCCAATCCTGGAGTTCAGCCAGCTCCCCAGACCAACTCCAGCAGGACAAGGGAACTTAAAAATCTCCTTTCCTGTCCGAAGCCCTATTCCTTCCTGCCCTGAGCCCCATAAAATCCCAGTCCAGTCGAGCTCCCACACGGTTTCTCCTTAGACCCTTCTCCTGTCCACTCTGTTGGTCTGATCGAGTTCCACCTGGGAGTGATATCTCAAATAAAGCCTCGTTTGGCGGCCTTTTTAAATCTGCCTCCTCTGGTTGCTGCCCGCCTCACCTGATCTTACACCTACAATACATCATGGGACTCTAAAGGACATATTTTACCTCCTATTTTAGGAAAGAAAAAGATTTCTGCTTCTCACCCTATATACTTCCTTATCATTTAAATTTAAGATAATGAAAATGTATTATTTGTATAATAATAAGGTGATAGAAACAATGAAGAAAGTATACAAGGAATGGAAAAGGGGAAGACCAATGTGTTTAAGATCAAGTTAAAACACTCCTGGGTTCAATCCCCACTTTATTGATCACATTCATTACTGAACAATTATTTCAAAACTTTCATGTGAAAAATGTCCCAAATACCTACTGTTAGGTATGTAACAGAGGTCTATCTCTCACTTCAGATGGTAGCTGGGACTTGGCAACTTTGTCCATATTCTCTACCTGAATAAGCTAATTTTGAGCAACTGGGAGAAGTTGCCAGACAACTACCTCAACCAGAACCTTCTTAGTAAGAATAAACAGAGTTGTAGACAGTCATTCATAAAACTCAAATTGGAATTTAATTCTCAGATTTTTTACTTTTTAGTTATAGGCGGACATAATTTCTTTATTTTATTTTATGTGGTGCTGAGGATCGAACCCAGGGCCTCACACATGCTAGGCAAGTGCTCTACCTCTGAGCCACAATCCCATCCCATTTCTCAGATTCTTAAATCAGGCATAATTAAATGCCTCTCTGCTCTTTCCCTAGATTGCAGATAGACTTGATAAGAAATTATAAAAGAAATCCAAACTATCAATAAATTAAGTAATAAGTACACTGTAACTCTCACACAGAGCTATTTAGGCAGCCTAGAAAAGGAAAACTTAACATACATATACACACAGTCCCCCAAACTACATGCCATTCAAAGGACAACTAGGCACCCACTCTCCTGTGGAACTTGTGAGGCTGGAGTCCTGAAAAGCTTTGTTGTTGGAGTGGTTTAGGCTTGGGCAAACTACATTGGCAACACAGGTGGGAAGATTCAGTTCTTTCCTTTCTTAATGGGAACTTTTACCTAAGTCCTCAGCTTTAAGTGCATGTTACAAACACCAAAAACATCCATTAGTTCAATCTTGTCCATCTTGAGGAACTGAGAACAGAAATTACACCTCCACCTCCCATGTTCTTCCTCACCAAATTAACTACTAACAGATTAACACAGCAATTAAAATAACTAAAAACAAACAATACCAACAGTTGTGTGATTTTTATAGCAGATTCTAGAGACTAATGAGCTCAATTGGTTAATCAACTAAGAAGTTTATTCCAAGCAGCAATGTTGCCGCTTTAGAATGAAATGCTACCACTTTCCGAAAACCCAGTCATTAAAAGAAAGAAAGAAAGAAAGAAAGAAAGAAAGAAAGAAAGAAAGAAAGAAAAAACATCTTTTTGACAGTATTATAGTTTCTTGGAGAAAGTTCAGGATGACTTGTTTTCTGAGACTTATTAGAGGCATTTTAAGTTCTTGCTTCATTGATTTATCTGATTTTCACAAGTACCATTCCTTGTCATGGAGCCTTCTGTGTCCTCCTGAGCACTACAGAGCCCCAGGGCTCTCTGACCTTTCAGCTGCAGGTTAATTACTTTCTTTCTTGAAATCCTCTACTCTTTTGACATCTGCTGTCCTTTTTCTCTTTGGGTGGTCATTTTGTCTCCTTTGAAGAATTCTTTTTACCTTTCAAGCTAGTCACCCCAACTCAACAGTTAATCTAAAGTGTTTTATATAGAGGGGGCACAATTTTTTAAAATTTGTTGAATTTTTTAAAATTCCCAAGCTCAAGCAACAAAATAAATAATAGTGAAAACAACTACAATAACAACATTAAAATATTAATAACTAACATACTTTGAACACTATGTGTTAAGCACTCTCAAAGCATTAACTCATTTAAACTAATATAAGCACTTCCCCCTTTTGGGAGGTACTAGGATTTAAACCTAAGGGCACTTTACCACTGGGCTATATCCCTAGCCCATTTTATTTTTTATTTGGAGACAGGATCCTGCTAAGTTGCTTAGGAACTTGCTAAATTAAATTTGCTCAGGCTGGCCTTGAACTTGCAGTCCTCCTGCCTCAGCCTCCCAAGTCACTGTAATTCCATGCATGCATGACTGCATCTGGTAAGCTCCTCTTTTATAAACAAACCTATAATGAAAGGATAGTTGCAGATTACAGAATTATTGAGAAAATAGTAGAGAGTTCCCATATACTTCCTACACAGTATTACCTATTATTATTATTTTTTTAATGAGATGGGTTCTCACTATATTGCCCAGGCTGGCCTCAAACAATCTGCTTTCCTCACCTTCTCAAATAATGGACTACAGGCATGTGCTACTATGGCCCTATTATTAATATCTTACATTAGTGTGGTGTAGTTGTTGCAAATAATGAACTATTAATACTTTATTATCAAGTAAAGCCAATAACTTATTCAGATTATCTTTTTTCCCCTAAAATTCTTTTTCTGTTCCAAGACTGCATCTGCTACATTTAGTTGTCATATTTCCTGAGATACTGACAGTTTTGGCCTTCTCCCCTCTTATTAAATTTTGTTTTAATAAGTAGCAGTTTTATTGAGATATCATTCACATACCAAACAATTCACCCATATAAAGTATTCACAAAACTCAATGGGTGGGCTGGGGTTGTGGCTCTGAGGCAGAGCACTAGCCTAGCATGCGTGAGGCACTGGGTTCGATCCTCAGCACCACACACACACAAAAAATAAATAAAGGTGTTGTGTCCACCTACAACTAAAAAATAAATATTTTTTTAAAAAACAATAAAACTCAGTGGGTCCCTTGTATACTTATAGAATTGTACAACCATCATCACAAACAATTTTAGAATGTTTTCATCACCCCAAAACAAACCCCATACCCTTCAGCTATCACCTCCAACCACATTCCCCTTCCTTCCAGCCCTTAGTGACCACTTATCTACTTATCATCTCTGTAAATTGCCTATTCTGGGTATTTCATATAAATGGATTAATACAATATGTGGTACTTTGTGACCAGCTTCCTTTCATTTAACATAATGTTTTGAAGTTCATCCATGTTGTAGCAGATATTAGTACTTAATTACTTTAATAGCAAAAAAAAAATAATTCCCTTGTTATGTATATACCTCATTTTGCTTGTTCATATCAACTGATGAATACCTGGGTTGCTTCTACCTTTGGTGACTGCTAACAATGCTGCTATGAACATTCACATACAAGTTTTTATGGAGACATATGTGTTCATTTCTCTTGGGTATATATCTTGGAGTAGAATTGTTGATTAAGTCTATGTTTGTACTTTAAAGGAACTGCCAGACTATTTTCCAAGGTAACTACCATTTTCCATTCCCATTTAGTCCCCTTTTAGCAGATAAAAACTTGAAGACCAGAGGGATTAAATCACTTGCCAAATCCATACAGACAAAAAGCAGGGGAATGAGGATGTGCACTCAGGAAGTCTCCCTGGTCTTGACAGCTATACCACAATGACAGTACAAAGAGAAACTGAGTTAATTCTAATCTGTTCGACATGTCTTCTGTGTCTCACCTTCAGGGAAGGGCAACTAATTCTCTATACTACCTTCTCTAGATATAGAATCCACAAATTAATGGAGATATAGAGAACAATGAAGAATTCCAAAAGAGATATAAAATGATTGAAAAAACTTTGATGAAGAAATTTTAAACACCCTGAGATTGGGGTTGGGACCATACATAGCTCAGTGACAGAGGCATTTAGCATGTGGAAGACCCTGGTTTAACACCCAACACAAAATCAAAACAAAATAACACACATACATAGACACCCTGAGATTCTTTTAGCTTAGAGAACAAAGTACATACTGACAATTGTCATTGTCAATAACATAAAAGGTTAATATAATAACAGGTCATGCGAGACCTTCTTTACCTCTTTGAATTAGAAGAAATGGGTCTTAATATAGAGCATTACAAGTAAATAAGAAGTTCCTAATTATGAGACACTGAAACTCTAAAAGGACACTTTAGGAACCCTTTGACAATATTATTGTTAGGATGTCTGAGCTAGGAGGCAGGAAGATGGACAAAATGACGAACAGTATCTTGTAGAGATTTTGTGCAAACATGATATAATCTTTGGTTCACAGACTCAAAGTCCTTTAACCAGGACCAACTTACCCTGAATTGCAGACAGATATACAAAAGAATCTTCATGTTCCAAGTTCTCCAAAAATATCTGGAACCACAAAAAAAGAGTGATATGACTTACAAGAATAAAGAAAGACTTAAGACCCTCTTATATATAGCCTCAAAACAGCAAATTATTCTTGTTTGTCTTAGCTACAAATTATTCTGATATAGCATCTTGGAAGGAAGATGGTATAGATGCTTGAAGTCCTGTTTTTTTAACAGCTAACAAGGAGGAAGAATTAGCTGAGATACTTCTTAGAGTAGTCAAGAGCAGCAATCATGGAAATTAATGTTTGGAAGAAGAATCCTCCACATTTTCCTGTCAGCCCACGGTGGACAACATTCTCATATATGACATGATTGACAAAAGCCTGACACATAAGAAGCGAAGTGCGGGGGTTCCATGAATTGATGGCATATTTGCTACAATTTAATCCTTTTCTCTTGCGCTCACAAAACATATGGAAATGCAAATGAGACAGAGATATTATTATTGCGATAAATTTGAATCTGTTCTATTTCATTTTAAAAAATCTGGCAAATTTTTGTCCTTCAATTGACATTTGTAACAAAGTACTCAATATATTTCACAATTTAGGAATTCATTAGGTTGTCAACTGCAGTGAGTATGGCTTACCTAGAAGATACTAAGTAACATTTTAGGTTTAGGTCCTAACATGAGAGCTAGGGAAAGACAGTGTCCATGTGACCATGTTCCTCTTGCCTGGTGTCTAGGGCAAGTTGGGGGTGTCTGTTTCATTTATTGTGCCATGTCCTTTGCTGGCACCATGGATTTTTTTGGTTTTGACTGGATACTGCTGCTCTCTATATCTTAGGTATGTTAGGGAGATCCTATGATTCGTCCAGTAGGGAAGATGGCAAGTTTGGAAGGTGTGGTGATCATGCATGGAGTAAGGGAAGTGGCCATGGGAATAAAGAATAAGAGATACAATTGAAGGACTTCTTAGAAAAAAAAAGAATTGACAGGACTCAGTGACCAGTTATGCACAACAGATAAAGGTCATACGAAGTTAAAGAAAATTCCAGGGCTGGGGTTATAGCTCAGTGGTGGAGCAGGTGCACATGTGAGGCACTGGGTTCGATCCTCAGAACCACATAAAAATATATAAATAAAATAAAGGTATTGTGTCCGTCTATAACTCAAAAAAATAAAAAAAAAGAAAATTCCAAAGACATTCATAATCTAAATAGGGATATTTTTAATGATTACTCATAGAAGATATACATTTAAGTTTTCAACAATATTTCAATGACAGCAAATCCTTATACCTTGGTTTTCTCATCTATAAAATTGGGATAATACCAATGTTATGGTTGTTGTGAGGAATAGAGGCAATGCAAGATATATGGCTCATGATCCCCAGTATGGGGGGAAAAAAAGATATATGGCTTGGTTCGATAAATAGCAGTTATTATTCTTATGCCACTGGTTTCAAAACCTTAGTAACTAAAATTGATGTTTGCAATTAGAATTATAATTCTTAGTCTAACAGTGAAGGCAACAGAAGAGATCATCATCATCACAATTAATGCCCAGAGGCTAAAGTGAATTTTCCAAGAAACTGCTCTGGAATTTGATCCTAGACACTAGTTTGTAGACCCCTTGCTCTTCATCACTAATACATACTAAGGTCAGGATAATTCCCATAACAGAGAAAAGATCCTCAACTAAGTATATTTATTCTAACACATAAATCAAGAATTTAAAGAAGTTTTTTCACTGTGACTGAGTAAGGGAAATGGAGGAGATCTAGTTCTGCCCAATATTCCTCTAAAAGGGTCCCAGAAAGATCAGTGGCTTACCTAGGCTGGGTCATAGTGTTGAAAGTAGAACTACTTACCAAAAAAGGTGCTTTACCATCTTTGCAAATTTGCTCATGTTATTTCACATTCCCCCTTTTCTTTTATCTACTCAGACTTTACAATGTATTAAGGTCATACTAAGATCTACTTCCCCAGAAGATTTCAGTTCTTTTTCCTGACTGTCCACAGCATTTAATGAATATAAAAATTTTGACACTGTTCATGTTCAATTGAGTAGCTTCATGAGGTCATCTAAAAGTCCTTTCTGTGTCTTAAGTCTTGCTTCCTCAGAATAATTAAAAGTTCCTGGAGAATAATCCAGGGCAGTACTCAACATAGTCAATGCTCCAGAAACACTCAAGCTAAATGCATACTCCTGGACCACTGTCCCACCCTGCACCCATGTGTCTTCACAGTATGTTCCACTCACCTTGAGAAGCTGCTCTTGGCTCTCAAGGGCTTTTGCTTCTCTTTGCTCTACCCAGCAAGAAAGAGTGCGCAAGGCAGCAGCTCGTGCTGGAATCTGAGGATCATAAGCTGATAAAAGAACTTCTTGGAACTGTCCTGTAGTTATACTTCCAGATTGCTGGTTTGCAGTAGTACTGGGCTCATTGATCCCCATAGGAATAAATGCAGCATTAGACTCCTGGCCTGTTTGGGAGGATTGCTCACAGCTTAGCTGTTGTTCAAGGTGGCTCTGAGCTACCTCTGTGTATCTATTACAACTAATTTGTTGCTCTCCTATTTTCCCTTCTGTATCTTTTTTCTTCAGGGTGCTCTGGGCAGCCACGGTGACAGTCTCAGTGGAAAAGGCTCCATGGGTAGAGATAGTGATACGGAGGTCAGCAGCAAGTTCTTGGATCACAGGGTCAGGGTACGTGTTGGAGACCTTCTCCAACAGAGGCAGCAATTGCTTCAGGACCACAAAATCACTTGACTTCAACTATAAAATGAAATTTTAAAAAATGCCAAAAATGAATTTAATATAACCTGAGCCCAGGAAACACTGTAAGTATAAGTAGCAAGGATTGCATCTTGTTCCCAGTGTAATCTGCAAATCACCTGGATTGAACACTCAATAACTGTTTGTTGAAAAATTAGAGCTAACATTTATTGAACATTTGCTGTGTACAGATTTTTTTTAATTGAAACACACACATTAATATCCTTATGATACAGTTACTATTATTTCTACATTTAAAATATAGGGAGTCTGAGGCACATACCTGTTAAGTAACATGGTTAAGGGCACAAACTGGAAGACAGTATGATGCAAACTCATGAAGTCAGGCTCCAGAACCCACGCTTTTACTCAATACCCTACATGGTCTCACTGGAATGAATGAAGCTGTTGTTAACTATGTGAACGAAAGTGGCAAGACGGTATATAAGGGCACCATAGGATTGGAAAGGATTTGGGTGATCTAGTTTTCCTAGAAAGGAGGAGTGAAAATTACATAGGATTCTTTTTTCTCTACAGAAGTTTTATTCTAATAATGCCACGTGCCTAAGAAAGGTGTGCGTGCAGCCAATGTAAAGTAAGAATCCATGATAATCCTTTTCTGTTTGAAAATACTGGCAGCATGATTATAAAGCTTCATGAGGTCCTGAAAATGTGAAAACCTCAGGGATCCTAAATCCTTTTTGGAACAAGACAGAGAATTCATGATTTAATCATACACTCATTTTATCATCCAACCAACCAACCAGTCAACCAACTAACTGTTTTTGAAGGATCTACTTTATGTTTTCATTTCACACTACATGTTCACAGAATGGTTACTGTTCACTTCCCCTACCACCATTCTCCTGGGTAAACAAAAATTTGAGGTATATATATCAGATTTGTACCTGTGAAATGCTACCATATATTCCCCTCAGATTTCTTTCTTTACACAATTAAAAATGAATGCAAAATCTACATAAGGTGGAATTTCTAGTTCCACAACATGTTAGTTTATCCTAATGAGTAAAACACATGACCATTTTGATGTTATACAGCTTCAGGGAAAAAGAGAGTATGCATGTCTAGTGTAAAGGCACATATTATCCAAGAAAAGGGTCAATTTTTCCTGGAATCCATGTGTAAATAAATGGACAAGACACTTCAGAATAATTTTGCTAGTGTTATCTTTATGCTAAATCTCATTCAGTGCCTTTGTAGTATCATGAACCTTTGTTTTTGTTTTCTCTAAACATCTGAAAAGAGAACATCATCTTATTACCTACAGTCTATATGGCCTCTTTTTCACTTCTACTGTATACAACAATTTTTTCTAAAGCAAAAACAAAAACCCAACACAAGTGGGATAGAGAGCCCAGAAACAGACCCAAATAAATATAATCAACTGATCTTTGAGAGAGGAACATAGACAACAATGGAAAAAAGATGGTCTTTTTCAATAGTGTTAGAACATTAAAAGAAAAATGCATCTAGACTCAAACCTTAGCCCTTTCACAAAAAATAAATGAAAGTGAAGCACAGATCTAAATGTAAAATGAAAGTCTATAAAACTTCTAAAAGACAACATAGTAGCTGGGCATTATGGCACATGTCTGTAATCCCAGCTACTTATGAAGGAAGGAGGATGGTAAATTCAAGGGCAGTCTGGGTAATTTAGCAAGAGCCTGTCTCGAAAGAAAATAAAAATTTTTAAAAGAGCTGGGCTGGGATGTAGCTCAGTAGTAGAGAACTTGCCCTGCATGTATGAGGCCCTGAGTTCAATCCCAATTCCCACCCAGTACTGCAAAAAAAAAAAAAAAAGAAGAAGGAGGAGGAGGAGGAGGAAGAGGAGGAGGATAACAGTAGTAAATCTAAATGACCTTGGTTATGGAGATAAATTTTAAAAATAAAACACCAAAGTCATAATCTATAAAAGAAATAATTAAAATTTAAAACTTCTGCTGTGCAAAAGACACGTAAAAAATGAGAAATAGTCAAGCATGGGAGCACACACCTGTAATCCAGCTACTTGGGAGGCTTAGATAGAAGGATCACAAATTCAAGACCAGCCTGGGCAACTTAGAGAGACACTGTCTCAAAATAAAAAATAAAAAGGTATGCAGGGCTGGGGTTGTGGCTCAGTAGATAGAGTGCTTGCCTTGCCCGTGTGAGGCACTGCATTTGATTTTCAGCACCAAATACAAATAAATAATAAAATAAAGGTATTGTGTGCATCTCCAAAGTAAAAAAAAAAAAAAAAAGAGCTGCAGATGTAGCTCAGTGATAGAGCATCCCTAAGTTTAATCCCCCTGTACTACATACACACACACACACACACACACACACACACAAATACACACAAAGATATAAGCCACATACTGGAAGAAAATATTTGTAAAAGACATATCTGAAAAAGGATTGTTAATCAAAATAAAGTGAGGATGAGGAGCAACAGGAAATCCATTCTTTGCTGGTAGGGATGCAAAATGGCACAGTCACTATAGCAGATAGTTTGGTAGTTTCTTCTAAAACTAAACATGCTCTTACCATACAGTTCAGCAATCCTACTCCTTAGTATTTACCCAAATTAATTAAAAACTTACATCCAGCTGGACATGGTGGCACACACCTGTAATCCTAGTAGTTCAGGGGCTGGGGCAGAAGGATCGAAAGTTCAAAGCCAGCCTTAGCAAAAGGTAGGCTCTAAGCAACTCGGTGAGACCCTGTCTCTAAATAAAATACAAATCAGGGCTGGGGATGTGGCTTAGTGGCCAAGTGCCCCTGAGTTCAATCCCCAGTACCCCTCCCCTGCAAAAAAGAGAAAAATACATCCACACAAACATCTGTAAATGATGTTTAGCCATAACTGTCAAGATATTTCTTTATAAGTTGACTGGATAAATAAACTATAGTATATTAGACAATAGAATATTATTCAGCACCAAAAGGAAATGAAGCTATCAAGCCAGGAAAGTATATGAAGAGCTATAAATACATATTACTAAGTGAAAATCCCAATCTAAAGATGCAAAAAAAAAAAAAAAGAAGATCGTACATATTATACGACCCTTTTTTTTAAACAATGAAGTCACTTTTTTAAAAATTTATTTTTTAGTTACAAGTGGACACAATATATATATATATATATATATATATATATATATTTATATATATATATATATATATTTTATTTTATGTGGTGCTGATGATCAAACCCAGTGTCTCAGGCATGCTAGGCAAGTGTTCTACCTCCGAGCCACAACCCCAGCCACACCCCTATTCCAACTTTATGACACTCTGGAAAGGGCAAAACTATGGAAATAGTAAAAAGATCAATAAACTGACAGAACACAGAAAAATTCTAGGGCAGTGACATTATTCAGTATGATATTATAATGGTGGACACATGTCATTAGACACTGTCAAAACCCACAGAATTGAGCTGGGTTAGTATAGATCAGTGTCAGGGTACTTGACAAGAATATGTAAAGCCCTGAGTTCAATCTCCAGCAGAGCAAAAACAATAATAAAATATTTTTTCTCCCTGTTCTCAAACTTCTTATCATTCAACTGATTCATTCAACTGATCAACTTTTCCTACTGCCAAGGGCAAGTAGGTGGGTTCTGAATCAAACAGTTTATAAAGCAATTAAAGCTCTGCACTCTTTCAGCTTCAGAAGCCTACAAATTTTCCACTATGAAAACAATCAGGGATATCCATGACTATGGATGCCAATTATTTGTTTGTAAATATTTGAGAATTTTTTTCTGATATAAAGTAAAACTTACTTTATTGGTAGAGGAGAAAACTGAATTACTGGGCTGGGAATATAGCTCAATTGGTAGAATGTTTGCACAAGGCCCTGGGTTCAATTCCTAGCACCACCAAAAAAACAAAAACTAAAACAAAAAACAATCACCTGAATTATTAATTGTTTATTTTTCAAGGGTTACTACCAAAATCAAGAATTGTCCATGAAGCCCCAGTTTCTATTCCTGTCACTACTTTCAATACAAATCTCATATCCAGATCTCAGAACTCTGTACACATGCCACAAGAGCGGAAGAAGGAGCCCACAAGTGCAGATTCCTTTATTTGGCTACCTCTCTTCTAGAGTTTCTGGAATGCTTTGGGAATGGAGTGTAGAGAGCTTCCTCAGCCCACACAATACTATGAAATCTTTCAGGAGTGGCAGGGTGAACCAGTTAGATGGTTAGTTGTTATGAATTTCTGCAAGTTCTCAAATTTGTTTAAAAACTGGGGGTTGGACTGGTAAGACAGAGGTTGAGGATGGGGGTGAGGAAGAAAGAAGCCCTCCAGTAGTGTATCAGAACCGGGGTAAAAGTCAGAGGAGGGCATATGTATATGGAACCCCACATGAGATTTTTAAAAGCTTCTGTAACAGGAGCTTTTATATTGCAGGTAAGAGTGATCAGGTGATCCTGCCTTGCCTTAACCTGCTCCAGTGAGGATCACTGTTTTAGAAGAATCCAGGGGACTCTTCCAGCAACAAAACTCCGACCTAAAAATTTCTAATTCTGGAAAAAATTTACATTTACTCTTTGTGTTCTCTGTACATTGACTATAATTCCTTAGATATTTAGCCCATCAGTTTGTACATGGGTCCCTCTTTACATACATGACTGAATTTATTTATTTTTAAAATTTTTTTTAGTTGTAGTTGGACACAATACCTTTATTTTATTTATTTTTTTATGTGGTGCTGAGGACAATTCAGTTTGCTTTTCCTAAAAGGTCGAGATGGTCTGCTCAGCTTCATGCCAAAATGTTTTAGAGGACCCATGGACTCTGCAACAACATGCAGAAATTGCTTCCTGAGGGGACAGGGAAGAGTTACCAACATAATACTTATACAAATGACAAACCCTGAAATTTAGAAAATGAGTTTGGGGGGCTGGGGTTGTGGCTCAGTGGTAGAGTGCTCACCTAGCATGCACGAGGCACTGGGTTCGATCCTCAGCACCACATAAATGTAAAATAAAGATATTGTGTCTACTTAAAACTAAAAAATAAATATAAAAAAGAAAATGAGTTTGGAATTACAGTTGTCTTCTTAGCAATCTTAAACCTACACTTTCTCCAAATTAACTCCTCTTCCCAGACACGATGTTTTAATAATCATCTTAATTATATAAATTAGAAAGGAAAGAAAAAAAGTTTAGATGCTATTAGATTCTGTTTCATTAGCCAAAACAATGACTTCTAATGTAAAGCATGATGTTCTAGACTCTCAGGTAAAGATGCAGCCTCACAGTGGAATTCAGGATGGTGACTTTTTTTCCTAATGCAAAGATAAAATCCAGCATTATTACAGATGCCACTTATAAATATATGAATCAAACAGAAAAAATTTAATAGATCTAAGGCAAAAGTACAGGGGGTGACATGTTTATGTTCACTTAACAAACTGCAAAGTCAGAGGAATTCAGGATGTAGTTAATGAGTCAGGATGGCTCAGAGGAGGGCAGTGACAGGCAAGGGCTGCACACTCACATCAGTCACGAGAGGCTCTCTCAGAATAGGACCAATATACACAGCCAGCCCCTAACAGTGGGCTTCTAGAAAGGGAAATGGAGATTTCCACAATCTATTTTACATTTGAGACATGGTTTAAAATAAGTGTTAAATAAGGAGAAGCAAAAAAACACACTGTAAATTTATGGAAATAAAAACTATTCAAATTAATATTCAAATATAAAAACAATCGGATTAGCCAGTTAAATCTAACAAGAGTGCAACTTAAGGAACATTCTGGACGTGAACCCCACCTTTATAATTCTAATATGGCTTAAAACTGAACCAAAAACTTTTTTTTTTTTTCTAAATGACATGGAAAATATAAAATTAGAAGTGCTAAGTAAATTTACCAAGAAATGGGCTTCACATTATCAACTGGTCCAAATAAAATTCCTCTTTCCCCTTAAGAACAGGCAAGAGAGGCAAATTCTAATATATCAAGAATCAAATCAGATTTGAAACCTCAAACTCAAAAATCCATTCCCAGAGAGTTCCTTACTGGTTGCTAAGGATATGACAGGCTGGTTTCAGGTTGGATTTCACAATACCTGCACTAAGAGTCTTCTGCTTCCTTGCAGTCTCCCAGTCTAATGCTTTATATAATTAACCACTCATACCCACATGTATGATCTAGCCCTTACCTATCCTTTCTTCTTGTTAGAGAGAGAATTTTTTAATATTTATTTTTTAGTTCTCGGCAGACACAACATCTTTGTTTGTATGTGGTGCTGAGGATCGAACCCGGGCCGCACGCATGCCAGGCGAGCGCGCTACCGCTTGAGCCACATCCCCAGCCCCCTTTCTTCTTGTTAGTACTATTCCTCCCCTTGATCTCTGAAGTTCAGCTACACCAGTCTTCAATCAGTGTCTCAAGTACACCAAGCTCCTTCCTGCTTCTGAGCCTTTACAAATGATGTTTCTTTAATGGGAAGAGTTTCCTCCATCTGCTATACATACAAACTCCTATTCATCCTTCAAGTCGTACCTTAAACTTACTGGAGATCTCCTCAACCTTATTAGAGGGTTATGTTCTCTTGATATCCTGCACTTCTCTTTTGAGGCACTTTATTCAATTCTAAGTGTATATGTGCACGCATGTGTCTGTATTTTTGGTACTGGGAATTAAACCCAGGGGAACCTTACCACTGAGCTATATCCTTAAGCTTTTCTGTTTTGAGACCGGGTCTTGCTAAGTTGCTGAGGCTGGCCTCAAACTTGCAATCCTCCTTTCTCAGCCTCCTGAGTCACTGGGATTACAGGTATACACGGCTACTCTGGCTCTAAGCATTTTTTAAAAATAGTCATTTAGCATATGACTCTCTTACTGAACTATACATTTCATGAGGGTAGAGGCCATATCTATCTTGTCCAATGCTATATTCCCAGCCCCTTAGTTCAGTAACTTGGCACATGGTAAGGATACAATAAAATTGTGTTTGAATGAATGAATTTTAAAATTATGATGAGTTAAATGTGTAAAAGACATAATTAAAAGTAGTTGAAAGCAAACCTTTAACATGCTACATGATATGGGTTGAACAATGGATCTTGGGTTAAAATGGACTGTTCACAATAGCTTTAGTCCTAAGCAACTAAGATTAAAGTTTAGTAAATACTGGGGGCTGGGGATGTGGCTCAAGCGGTAGCGCGCTTGCCTAGCATGCGTGCGGCCGAGTTTTATCCTCAGCACCACATACAAACAAAGATGTTGTGTCCGCCGAAAACTGAAAAATAAATATTAAAAAAAAAAAAAATTCTCTCTCTCTTTAAAAAAAAAAAAAAAGTTTAGTAAATGCTGTCCACTGACTACAGTGGTAGGAACTTCTGAGCCATTGTTGAGCTTTGGGAAGTGAGGACAAACACTAAATGCAAAACACTATGCTAGATATTTCCAAATCAAGTGTCTACCAGATGTGAACAGGCAGTGAAATCTACTCAAGTAACAGGGTAGAAGTGGTGCTTTCCCTTATCCTCTACTTTGGAAAGAATTCTCGTTAACAATCTAAGTTGTTCATCCTGGTTCTCATAGATACAATATCTACTCTTATTTTTCAAAAAGAATGGAAGGGAAGCAGCAAGGATTTTATTTTTCTTTTCCTCCATTCAAGTTTGGCTCATTTCTACAACTCACCTGAACAGCTCCTCCTAGCATGACCGCCACCAGCCCCATGGACATGCTCAGTGTCTGCGATTCCACAGTGCTCTCTGCCTCATGAGCCAGGCTTACACATGCTCTCTGCAGTGTCGCCACTACAAAGTCTACTACCTACCAAAAAATAGAAATTTGAATTAGTGTGGAGTTAAAAAAAAAATTCAAAATTCTTTGTATGTCTGAGTTTGTTTTATCTTTTTTAATTTACCAGTTAATAAACTGGTAAGAGGACACTCCAAAACATACATAAGTCAACCAGATGAAGAGACAAGACAAGGTACGGGTATGAGATAAAGAGCTTCCACAACCTCTCTGACCTAGTTGCCCTTCTAGCACCTTCCCTGTTCAGCAATTCAGAAACTCCTAAGTGTTTTACATGCATAATCTCACTTAATTCTCATATCAACTCTGTAAGGTTTATACTATTATTCTCATTATGAAATGAAGACTCTCAGTGTGATTTGCTCAAGGTCATAAAGTTACTAAAGGAGAAAGCCTATACTTTCCTAACTGTTTTAATATACTAATCGAACATCCTTTACTTTTCATGAATTTTGCCAGGAAATTGAAAATAAAGATAATTCATAAATTAACTCAAAATGGATCATAAAATTCAATGTTAAATGCAAGACTATCAAACTGCTAGAAGATAGGAAAAAATATAGATGATTCAAGGTTTGGTGATGACTTTTTAGATATAACACCAAAGGCAAAATCCAGAAAAAAAGAAGTAATCAGTTGGACATCATTAAAAAAAAAATCTGATCTGTGAAAAATATTATCAAGAGAATACAAAGACTGGGAGGAAATGCATGCAAAAATACCTCTGACAAGGGACTGTTAACTAAAATATTTGAAGAACTCCTAAAACTCAACAATAAGAAAACAAACAACCTGACTACAAAAGTCCTAAACTGTCTTTTACCAAAAGATCTGTAAATCCTTACCAAAGAAGACGTACAGGTGACAAGCATATGAAAATATGCTGCACATCAAATGTCCTTAAGGAAATGCAAACTAAAACATGAGTGAGACATCCCTACGCACCCCTTAAAACAGCCAAAATCCAGAACACCGACAATACCAAATGCTGACGAGGATGTGGAGAAACAGGAATTTTCCCTGTTGGTGGGAATGCAAAATAGTACAGCTACTTTGGAAGACAGTTTGGCAGTTTTTGAAAAACTAAATAGATTAGCATGGTGGCATGTACCTGTGGTCCCAGATATTCAGGAGGCTAGGGCAGGAAGATCACTTGAGCCCAGGAGTTTGGGGCATCTGGGCAATATAATGAGACTTCAATTCTTTAAATACAAGCAAAAAAAAAAAACGTACTATATATACTCTTGCCATATAATTCAGGCATTGCACTCAATATTTACCCAAAGGAGTTAAAAACTTATGTCCACATAAAAAAAAAAAAAAAAAAGAACCACACATGGTTGTTACCACATTTCTAGTCAGGACTGCCAAAACTGGAAAATAACCAAGATTTCCTTCATAAGGTGAATGTAAATGGTACACTGAGACAATGGAAGACTATTTAGTACTAAAAAATGAGCTGTCAAGTCATGAAAAGACATGGAGGAAACATAAATGCATATTACTAAGTGAAAGAAGCCTATCTTAAAGGATTAAATACTGTATGATTCCAACTACATAAATTTAGGAAAAGAAAAAAAAAAAAAAAAACACTGAGACAGTAAAAAGACAATGGTTACCAAAGATTAGAAGAGAGGGAGAGATAAATAAGTAGAACACAGAGGATTTTAGGACACTATAACAATTCTATAGGATACTATAATGGTAGAAACATTTTGTCCAAATTCATAAACTGTGCAACATCCAGAGAAACCTAATGTAAATTATGAACTTTGGGTAATAATGATGTGTTAATGTAGATTCATTAACTACAACAAAGGGGAAAGGGAATGTAGCTGTGATTGTTTGCCTAGCACATGGAAGACCCTGGGTTTGATCTTCAGTATTACAAAAACAAGAAACAAACAAAAAGACCACCATTGCAGCAAAGGTAGCACTCTGGTGGAGGATGGTGATAATGGGGAAGGCTATCTAAACAGTGGGCACAAGGGACATATGAGAAACCTCAGCACTTCTCAATTTCTTCTTTTTAAAAAAATATTTTTTTAGCTGTAGGTGGACACAATACCTTTATTTTTGTTTATTTAGTTTGTTTTTGTGGTGCTGGGGATAGAACCCAGGGCCTCACACATACCAGGCAAGCACTCTACTGCTGAAAAGACATGGAGGAAACATAAATGCATATTACTTTATTATGACCCTAAAACTGCTCTAAAAAAACTATACTTACTTAAAAAAAAAAAAAAAAGGATTGGTTACTTTCTAACCATCTTAGAGAGTCTCCTAAGGAGTTTTTCTTCCTTAGGAATATTTCCCCACATTTGACAGTCTAATTCTAATAAGCAAAGAATGAGGGAGGAGATGTTTAATTTTATCTAGAAGCCAGTATCCTCAAATAATCTGTACAAATGATCCAGATATATTTATAAGATCAAATATTTTTAAATTCAGCTACTTGGGGGGACTGAGGCAGGAGTTCAAGGTTAGCCTGGACAATTTAGCAAAACCCTGTCCCAAAATAAAAAATAAAAAGGGCTGGGTGTAGTAGCACACACCTGTAATCCCAGCACTTTGGGAGGCTGAGACAGGAGGATTACAAGTTCAAGACCAGCCCCAGCAACTAGGGGAGGCTCCAAACAAGTCAAAGAGGCCCTAAAAAACTCAGCAAGACCTTGTCTTAAAATAAAAGAAGCTGGGAATGTAGCTCAATGATAAAGTGCCCTTAGCTTAAATTCCCAAGTCCCAAAAATGAATAAATAAGGCTGTGGATGTAGCTCAGTAGCTCAGTGCCACTGGACTCAATCCCTACTACTTTTAAAAAAGGAAAAGTGGGGGCTGGGGTTGTGGCTCTGTGGTGGAACACTTGCCTGGATTCAATTCTGAGCACCGCATATAAATAAATGAATAAAATAAATGTCCATCAACATCTAAAAAAAAATAAAGGCTTAAGATTGTTCATATAGAAATTTTATATAGCATTTGGCTAACAATTAAGCTTTAAGTTGAATTAATTTGGTCAGCATCATTTTTTTAATTTACTTTTTTGGTTGTACACAATACTTTATTTTATATTTTATTTATATATGACAGCAGAATGCATTACAATTCTTATTTCACATATAGAGCACAATTTTTCATATCTCTGGTTATATACACAGTATATTCACACCAATTTGTGTCTTCATGCCTGTACTTTGGATAATAATGATCATCACATTCCACCATCACTAATAACCCCATGCCCCATCCCTTCCCCTCCAACCCCTCTGCCCTATCTAGAGGGTGTCTATTGCTCCCATGCTCCCACTCCCTATCCCACTATGAATCAGCCTCCTTATATCAAAGAAAATATTTCGGCATTTGGTTTTTTGGGATTGGCTAACTTATTTATTTTTATGTGGTGCTGAGGATCAAACCCAGAGCCTCGCACATGCTAGGCGAGTGCTCTACCAGTGAGTCACAACCCCAGCACTGGTCAGCATCATTTTAACTGAGTGTAATCACCTTAATTAGAAACACCTTTGAATAAAGGACGGCAGACATACATGCATGCACACACATATGCACACATGCCTATTTAGGATTAATGGCTCAAAAAGGAGATATCATTTTGAAAATGGGAAGGCTGAGATAGGTCATAATCAGCCTCTAAATACCATGCAAGCTTGCATGTTTACCTCTCTGGACAAATGACATGCTGTGCTAGAATCTTTATTGCAAGTCTAAAGTCAAGAGAATGGCCTGTTAACACTTGTCTTTTGGAGCAAAGCAGGAAACTAGAAAGAATATTTAAAACTTCCACTTACTGAAAGAACAATTCTGGTTATAGCAATTTTTACCATTCTTTCCAGCCAGAAGATTTTATTGACACTAGAAATTAAGGACACTAGCCCTTTCCAGAGAAACTATTGTTTCCATCATCTTAGCCTACCTATTTTGCCTCCAAAGAGTTTTCTAAAGTACTCCTTATTTATATTTAGCTTTCATATCAGCAGAAGTACTGTTAAATTACTAAAATAGAACTATCTAGTCTTCCAACTTTTTTTCTAGGTTTCTTTCCACAATATATATATTTTTAAAAGGATGTAAAACAAGTAGTATAATCCTTTTTAAGAAAGAAATTTTCAGGTTTGGGAAAGTAGCATGTGTAAGGCACTGGGTTCAATTCTCAGCACTACATGTAAACAAATAAATAAAGTAAAGATCCACTGACAACTAAAAATACATATTTAAAAAAAATGCTGACAACTGAGTGGAAGGGGGCTAAAGGCCTCATTGTTGAGTAGCCCTCATCATAAGCCTCCTGTTTTTCAATCTGCCACTCTCACTCAAATTTAGAGTGCCTCAGATTCAACATCTCTCAAGAATAAACTTCTGGCTTTTCACTGGAGAGGGAAAAGGAGGAGAGTTGGAAAAATTTCAGGAAAAAGGGGGTCTCCTGAATCCTATACAGCCCTGCAAACCATGTTAAGCTGTATATTCAGCTCCATCTTTATAAGAGTTTCTCTGGTGCTTCCAGTTCTCCCACAGCTCTGCAGTGAAAAGTAGCTTTTTCCAACATTTTATTTCTTTTCTTTTCCTTAAAAAAAAAAAAAATCTTAACAGCCTTATTGAGGCAGAGTGGTTTGCTTTTGATTTCTCTCCATGCAGACATTTAGCTTTCCAATTTCCTAAGTTGCAAGATCAGATACTATTTTCAAGTTTCCAAATTTTGTTATTCTCTTTTAACTTCTCTCTCTTCTCCACTCTGTTGATCCCTTGGTTTCCAGAGACAGTGGGTAAACACACGTGTTCAATACATTGTCTTTAACCAGAAGCCCCTACTTTTTATATAATGCACTTCCATGTTGTTGAAATGTTTTTACAATGAGCATGTGTTACTTATGTAAAAAAAAAAAAAATAACATCTGAAAAAGAAAAAGAAAAAGCCACATAGAAGCACTTCTACTTTGCTGATTGTAGTGATGCCGTTATAGCGAGGAGAAAGTGCTGGCATTTTTCTGAAAGGACAGAAAAAAGGGACTCTTGCTCAGTCCACAACAATGACACTGGCCTTCTTGCTGACCTACTACATTTTGGCCATGCTCCCTCTATCTGAAACAACTGTTACACTATGGATCTCAACAACCCCCCTTTTCCCCACCTTTAGGTTTTCGCTAAAAAGGTACTTCCACAGTGTGGCTCTCCATGACACCCTATTTACCACACTCCTCTTAACATTCCTCTTTTTTTTTGTTTGTTTCTCTCTAGAAATTACCATCATCTAACACACTATGTATTTTTGCCTTCTTATTTATTGTATCTCTCCACCATGTGAGTATCAGCTCCATGAGAGCACAGACACATGTATGTTTTGTTCATGCTGTGCCTTGGTACCTAGAAGAGTATGTGGCTCTCAATATGTAGCCGTGGAATGAAAGAACTCATTAGTACAGAGACCACAGCATCCCACATTCCTTTCTGTACCTCATATATACAATGTGTCATCTTCCAGCATACTCTATTGAATATTTAATCTTTTACCCATACATCTCTTTAACATGCATTTCTAACAGATAAGGAGATTTGTATTTTATGTAACTACCATACCATGATTATACTCAGTAAGAATTCCTTAATATCTCCTGATAACTGGTCCATAATTGGTATAAAATGACCTCTTACAGCTAAAGTGAGGTGCTAAGCAATTCAGTGAGACCCTGTCTCTAAATAAAATATGAAATAGAGCTGGGCTGGGGCTATAGATCAGTGTAGAGCATTAAAAAATAAATAAAGATATTAAAAAAAAATAAGGCTAAGGATATGGTTCAGGGGTTGAGTGTCCATGAGTTCAATCCCTGGTACAAAACAAAAACAAAAACAAAAACAAAACAAAACAAAAAAAAAAAAAACAACCTCTTATAATTAATTTGTTTGAATCAGGATCTTGCTCTTTTTTAAAGCATTCATTTTAATTTTTTTTATATTTATTTTTTAGTTGTAGGTGGACACAATTTCTTTCATTTTTATGTGGTGGTGAGATTTGAACCCAGTTCTTCACATATGCTAGGTGAGCACTCTATCACTGAGCCACAACCCCAGCCCTAAAGCCATTTATTTGATGAAGAAACTGATCCACCCTATTGTAGAATTTTCCACATTCTGGAGTTGGCCAATTGCTTCCTCGTGGCAGTGCTTCCCTGGATCCTCCAGGCCCTGCATTTTCTTGGTTAGATTCCGGTTTAAGTTTCAGATTTTTGATTTTGGGGTAAGCATCCTTCCCAAGTGGTGCCACATACTTCCTAATACATTACATGAGGAGGTATGTATGATCCACTTGTCCACCTATAATGATGGGCAATCAGCCATGCCAGGCTGAAATATTTAGAGGGATTTATGCTGATATCTGCATTAACACTGAAATGTACCAAAAATAAGATGGGTATAGGGATACACAAATGGATAACTATGTGATAAAGCAAGTATAATAAAACACTAATAGTAATATCTTGGTAGGTAGTGGATGTATAAGTATTCACTGTAAAATTCTTTCAATAAACAAATATTCCTCATTAATATGATATAATTAATTCATGTTAAGCAAGAATAAAATAATTTCAAAAATTCATTCAAATTTGAAAATTTTCATAATAATATGTTGGGGGGATTTTCAGTTGCTTTGGTGTTTTGGGCTTCATATATTCATTATTCAGTATACCACTGATAGTTCATCTAACAACTTCGGCAGAAATCTATGATTGTTACCTAGGTCCATTATCTCCCCCAGAGGGTTGCAAAATGTAATTTTCTAGTCCTCACTTTGAATTTCTTGACTGTGATTATCCTATAAAGATAAAATTTCCTTTACTGATTATTTGATTACTACTGAAAATTAGTTCTTTTGGAAAGGCAACATAAGTACTTTATTCTTTCTCTTTATCAATTTGCAAAATAAATAGTGTTCTAACAATCTTCAAAGATGTGCTACAGGGGTTTTTGCTTATATTTTCGTATCTTTGATGTGCCTTAATTTATTGCAGACATTATTATTTTTTTAATATTAAATTGTCCTCTCTATGACCAATGGGAAACCCTTCAAGTTGGCTCGTGAATGTACTGACATAACCCCATCAATCTGATAGCTTCCTTGCATTTGGGCACAACAAAATGCCTTGAAACTTACAATGTATGACTCCTACCCCAGACTATAATCCAGACCTCAAATCAACCTTTATTCCAAAGCACTTCAAGTGAGCCAGGCATAGTGGCACACATCTATATCTCAGCTACTCGGGAGGCTAGACAGAAGGATCATAAGTTCAAAGCCCACTTGGACAATATAACAAGATGCTGTTTTCAAAACAAACAACCAAGCAGGTTTTGAGTTCTTTTAGAAAACGGTATTTCAAGTCAGGCATAGTGGCACACACTTGTAATCCAAGAGACTCAGGAGGCTGAGGCAGGAGGATTACAAATTCAAGTTCAGCCTCAGCAACCTAGTGATATCCCATCTTAAAAAAAAAAAAAAAAAGAAGAAGAAGAAGAAAAGGGCTGGGGATGTACTCAATGGTAGAGGTCAAAAGAAAATGGTATTTCATAACAATAATCTGGCACTAAGAATGTTTATTGCTACTAGGTTGTCATTGCTTCTTGTCATTGACAGTAGGCCATGCTAGGAAATACCTATTTTTTTAAAAAAGAGAAAAAATTAATCATGGGTTCATACTTCTAACTAAGATTTTTTTCCTAGTTCTTTGATTTCATGTTTATATTTTTTCTTATGCTAAAAATCTTGATTTCTAATAATATCAGTGGTTACTTAGAACTTATTTTCTTTATCCATCTGTGTTTCAAAATAACATACCAATATTATCAGTAGCAGTAAGATTACTAAATTCAATTTAATATTTCCTTGTGGTTTTTTTGTTCTAATACACATTTACCTTAGCTAAAGGATAATCTCTTGGGACAAATAATTTTTGTACTAGTCCAACACCATTGTTCCTTAATTAAGAGTAAAGGCAGATAAGTGCAAAAGCTCAAGTCATATCAGTTTTTAGGCCATTTCCCCTTCCAACTAGCATCCTGAAACAAAAACACAAGGTCTAGATGAAAGAGTCTCCAGGGAAGAGATATAAACATAGGAGAAACAAATCACCCTACTGAGTAACATGGGGTCAGTGAACTAAAGGAATAAGAGGCCAGGAAAGAAATCATGAACATAATTTTCATTAAACAGGCAAGATAGGTCAGAGCTGACAGGCAGCTGAAAATTTTCTCAGCAGGAGCTATAGCGAAATGCTGCTTAGCAACATCAGAAGCAGATGACAATGACAGCCATACAAAGAGCTGGAGAATCAGATTTAAGCATGACAATCATACCGTCTTACAAATGACTATTCACCAACCAAAGAACAATTCTTGTAAAGTGGTTAAAGATGGTGACTGCATTGCCTAGGCCATATTACTTTTATTTCCTATTTTTTAAAAAGGTAGTAAAAATAATGTCTAAGCCAATAAAATTCAGGCACTGACGCATAAATAAAAGTACAACTGCCCTGAAAGCATTTTTTTTTTAACATCTTAAAATTTCACAGGGTGTTGTGGAGATAAGTTGTCAGCTAAAGTACATATGGAATTTAAAGTGATCATATTAGTGATTTATTTTTTCAAATTTGAGTTTGGTTTTTTAAAAATATTTTTTAGTTGTAGATGGACACAATACCTTTATTTTATTTATTTACTTTTATGTGGTGCTGAGGATTGAACCCAGTGTCTCACATGTGCTAGGCAAGCATTCTACAACTAAGCTACAACCCCAGCCCTCAGATTTGACTTTTTAATCATTTTCAACTTTTGATACACATGAAGCTTTAAAAAAGTAAAAATGCCCAGGCTCTCATGCAGATGTGCTAAATCAAAATATCTAAAAGGTGGCTAGTATCAATATTTTGAAAAAGATTTCAGACAACTTTATTTGTACTCAAAGTTGAAAACCATTGTGATGTAACATATCAACATATAAAATAGTTCTCAAAGTTTTATGTGCATGAGAATCACCTCAGAAGCTTGTTAAACAGGTGGATTCCTAGGACCTAAGAAAGTTTTAGATTCAGTTGGCCTAGTGTGGGCTCAGTATTTGCATGTTTAACCAGAATTCCAGGAAATGCTAACACAGGTGTCATCAAATGACACTCTGAGCAACATTTCTGGGCATTTTTTGGAAAGAATGTAAAGAAACCAAAACAGACTAATACCATCAGACTGGATCTAAAATGTGGCAGCCACTAACCTGAGTGATGTTTGTGAATATCTGCTCAGACATTCTCTCACACAGAACAGCCAGCAGCTGCAGCACTAGCAGCTTCCGTTCCTGGCTTTCCACAAGAATTGCATGATGTTGCTCTAATTCCAAGAGGCTTTTGCTGGAGAAGGGCTTAGGTTTTAACTCTGTTTCACTTTCCATAGCCAGATGAGTCAACTCCTGAAGCACGGAAGGAAAGTAAAAGCCAGCAAAATTAAGAGCTTTGCAAATGTAGCTAGAAACCTTTGTTTGAAACATATAGTACATATACAATGTATAATAAATAGCTTTATTTATAACAGACTAAAATTGGAGACAACTTATATGTCCAGTATGAGAACAGTGATGTATTTATTATTTCACAGCAGTTAAAATAAATGAACTATATTATCATCAACATAGAACCCAAAGACAGCGTTGAGTGAACAAACGTAAATTGCATAGTATAAGCACATTATGTTGTCATGTATATGAACTTTTAAATTTTCCTAATAAAAACATACACACTTCTTACTTTATCATTATTTTTATGAACTCTTCTATTAGCCTTCCTTGAATTGAGCCCTCAGACCACATAATTTCCTAAGGTCCTTTCAAATACCATTAGATGCCCTCCCTTTAAGATATTCAGAACTCAGTTGGGAGCAGTGATGCAAACCTATAATCTCAGGTAAGGTAGAATGAGGCAGGAAAATTGCAAGTTCAAAGATCTTCTGAGCAACTTGGCAAGCCCCTTTCTAAAAAAAAAAAAAGGTCTGGGGGTTATAGCTCACTAGTAGAGCACCCTGGGTTCGATCCCCAGTACCACACACACACACACACACACACACACACACACACACAAAGATACTTAGAACTAAACTTCTACTAATGGATAGTTAATTATTGTGGCTTTTATAGGCTTTTACATACCCATCTACATTGTAAATTTCCTTGGGTAGGGAAACCTTAAGTTCCCTAACAATTAGTGCTTTATCACAATAACTGACATCTTACAGCAGTGGTGCTCAACTGTGCCTGAGCAATTTTGCTCCTCCGGGGACACTTTGCAATGTCTGAAGGACATTTTTGATTGTCATCATTAGAGGGTAATATAGGCATTTGATGGGTAAAGGTCATGGATGCTGTTAAATATTCTATAATGCACAAGGCAACTCCACACAAGAAAAATTTATCTGGCCCAAAATGTCAAGCATGACAACTAGAGTTAACCTGGTTTACAGAAAAGCCCTTTGTTTTGTAAGCAAGAAAAAAAGAAAAAGAAAAAGGAAAAAGCATACAATTGAGCACACATCTCCTGGGAATGCTGTTTAGAGTGAGTGGCTGGGTGTAGGGATGGATGTGAATACGGGAGGTAAGAAAGTATCAAAAAAAAAGAGTCTCCTATTTCAATTTCTAGAAATGTTAGTCCTGACTTTCTTTTTGCATTCTCATACACCCATACAGATCTTAAACTCCACAGACATCTTAACGTAAACCCCTTCTTTATGGAAAGAGTTAAAAAAGCAAAGCTAGACATCACTGGCTGGTGTTTATCAGACAGTGATAACATTATGAGACACACATTACCACTGCAGACTAGGGCAAAAGGAATCATAACTTCTGCACTAAGAAACAAACCCAGAAGAGGTTTCAAGTGGCTATGGAGTGAAATGAAGGAGGCATAACTGCTAAATCTCCGTTCCAAATACCTGACAAAACAACAGTCAGAAAGGATAACTCCATAGCTGTAAAACCTGCTATTAACTTCAAAAGAGTTCTTACTGTCAACACAGAGCAAAGATTAACCCTTTCATAGATCAATAATTTTGTTTTGTTTATCTCTAACAATTCAGTGCACACCACCTTGGAAAGTAGTTAGATCACATCAGTACTGTTGAGGATAAGTTTCTTCTTTTTACCAACCCAATTACCCTTATATATGTGGTCTATTCATTTTCCCTAAATTGGGACCTAAATTTAAGGATCTAAAATTATGAATGTCTTGAAAATTCAAATGGCCTCCTGGAACTACCTCAGAATAAAGCTTACCATATACTATATGGAGTTCTTACCTTCAAACAGAAGATGAAGAAGTCGCCTGCCAAACCACACTCCTGGCAATGAGACAGCAAGTCCCCAAGATGCTCCACCTGGCTCTGCTCTGAGGACAGTTTTTGGTACAGGGTTTCATCTTCATCTTCATCACTGGAATGCAGAACAAGATTTATGTTGGCAGGGTCACCCAGAGATAATGCTTTTTGAAACCCCATAATAATCTTCCAAAATAACATTATTTCCATATAGTTTATCATTAGAAAGATCTCAAAAATTTTATTTAACTTAGTTTTCTATTTCTCCTGCTGACAAAACATGAAGTATTTTTTCTCAGAAACTATATTTACTATGTCCTATATGTTCATTTGCTAACATAGGAAAACATTCATGAAGGAAGTGGTTTTTAAGATGAATGTTGAAGAACTACAATTATTTCATAAGCTGCCAAAGCAAGGAGGAATGAAAGTAAATGATATTCTGGTTCCTGAGAAAGAACTGAGAAACAGAAGGCTACAAAGATCATAAAGGGCCTTAGATGTCATTTAAAGGAAGTTTGACTTTTTATGATGAGCCACTGAAAAGTTATGGATAATGGGAAAAGACAATCATCACGGAAGGAGATGCAGTCAATCTCAACTCATATGAATCAATGGGTTGAAATAAGAAAATACATAAAAGTTCAGAAAAATAAGTGTGTGGGTGGGGAGACAGTGGCACACACCTGAAATCCCAATGGCTCGGGAGGCTGAGGCAGGAGAATTGAGAATTCAAAGCCAATCTCAGCAACTTAGAGAGGCCCTAAGTAACTCAAAGAGCTGGGGATGTGGCTCAGTGGTTGAGCACCCCTGGGTTCAATCCCTAGTACAAAAAAAGTTCATAAAAATGAGTAGATCAAATATGACTGGCAGGGCTGGGGATGTGGCTCAAGCGGTAGCGCGCTCGCCTGGCATGCGTGCAGCCCGGGTTCGATCCTCAGCACCATATACAAACAAAGATGTTGTGTCCGCTGATAACTAAAAAATAAATATTAAAAAAAAAATTCTCTCTCTCTCCCTCTCTCTTTAAAAAAAAATATGACTGGCAAGTAATAAAATTTGGCTTTTTCTAAAAAGAATGCTATTACTACATAAAATTTCTGGACACTTCTCATGAGGTATGGTGGATTTGGGTTTCAATTCACCTGATAAGTGAAAAGACCAAGATTTAATATTATTATACCATGTCATACAAAAAAAAAAAAAAAAAAACAAAGATACAGAAGATTCACAAAACAAACACTAAAATACCATAAATAGCTAATAGGATAGTGGTTGATTTTGTTTTTTTATGCATTTTTGTATTATACAAAGAATATATGTCATTTTTGTGAACAGAGAAGGGACCGATTTTTTTTTTCCAGACTAAATTAATTTAAAAAATGGCAAATGTTGCTCTATCTCACTGAAAAGCACTGTAGTTAATTTGGGCAACCATATCCTTAGGCAGGTTATCTCAATCTGCCAGCTCACAAATAACATGGCCTTCATGCGCCTGTAGCAGAATAAACAACCTATACAGTTAGCTTATTTCTAGGTTATCCCAGAATCCTTCAGATCAGTCATGTTTTCTCCATTACATCTATGTTAAAAGAAAAGCTGAAATGGACAAATATTATTTCTAAGATTCTGTGAATCATCCTGATTGTCAAAAAGAAGTACTTTATTTAGCCAAGCATAGTAGGGCCTGCCTATAATCCCAGAGGCTCAGGAGGCTGAGGCAGGAGGATCCCAAGTTCAAAGCCAGCCTCAGCAACTTAGCCCCTCAGCAACTTAATGAGGCCCTATCTCAAAATAAAAAATAAAAAGGACTGGGGATGTGGCTCAGTGGTTAAGCATCCTTGGTATAAAATAATAATAATAATAATAATACTATATTCAAATATTCTTAAAGAGTTATGACAATTAGCTTAAAAAGCACTATTTTATTTACTCTTAAAATGTGAACAATAATCAATTCAAAATAGTGAGATATAGTTATAGAAAGTAAAAATTCTATATCAAAAGATCTTAAATTCAAAGATGCTCAGATAAAGTTACTACTATAAACTTTTTTTTAAAAAAAGAGAGAGAGAGAGAGAGAGAGAGAGAGAGAGTATTTTTAATATTTATTTTTTAGTTTTTGGCGGACACAACATCTTTGTTTGTATGTGGTGCTGAGGATCGAACCCGGGCCACACGCATGCCAGGCAAACGCGCTACCGCTTGAGCCACATCCCCAGCCCTTTTTTTTTTTTTTTAAGGCAAGTCTCACTATGTTGCCCAGGCTATCTCAAACTCATGGGCTCAAGTGATCTACCTGCTTCAGCCTCCTAAGTAGCTGAGAATATAGGCATGAACCATCATGCCTAGCTTAAACAAACGTATTGATACTGTGTCCTGGGAAAATGACAGAATGAGAGGTAAGTGGTGATAGAGAGCAAGGTGCCTGAGCTTGCTTCTAGGGGTCTAACATCATAAGCAGGAGCTATACAGCAAATGACAAGTCACACATATATACACACACATTCTTATTTATCTGGTATAGTGATTGTCAACCTTATGGAAAAATAGATTGTTTTTAAGTTTCTAATGAAAACTGTGGACCCTCTCCAAAAACAAAACAAAACATATTTGCATGTAAAATTTAAAACAAAACATATTTGCATATAAAATTTATTTATCTGCATAATTTCAAAAGGATTATAGATCCCTAGAAGCCTATGTAGAAACCCCAAGTTAAGGAGCTATTCCTTCTGATAGCCCATAAACATTCATTCAATCATTGTCTACTGATCCTTTCCTATCTTGAAGAGAAACTACAGTTTCAGTAAGAACTGAATGGTGAAATTTTTTTCTTTTGGTGTTGAGGATTGAACGCAGGGTCTCATGCATGCTAGGCAATCACTTTACTACTAAGACACAGTCCTTTTCTTTTCTTTCTTTCCTTTTTTTTTTTTTTTGTACTAGGGATGGAACCCAGGGCACTTTATCCCTGAGTTATATCCTAGTATACCCCAAGCCCCTTCTGTTTTTTATTTTCAAACAGAGTCTCTCTGTCTCTCTAAGGGCCTCACTAAGTTGCTGAGGTTGGCCTGGAACTTGCAATCCTCCTGCCTCACCCTCCCAAGTTGGCTGGGATTATAGGTATATGCCACTGAGTCCAGCTTAGAACTATGGATTTTGATATACCTGCACTAAGAAGTATACCAAAAACTTGTTAAGACTGCAGTAAATTACAACTACTAAGCTAACTACTGCAAAATTCTCTATACCATAACTAACATGGTTCCCAGTTAAAAACAGTTCTAAAGTGTTTTTTAAATAAACATGCCAAATAAGTTTACTCTTTTGGTTTTGGGATATTATTAATGTTCAAGCTTTCAGTCATCTAGGAGCTTTAGTTTGTTCTGACAATTCTACTTGAAATTTATGAGTTTTTCTATTTTCCTCAAGTCTGTCATACTGAGAATATTTTAAAACTTGAACAAATTAATAAGTTTGGCACGGTGGCACATACCTGTAATTTATGTGCATAAATGGAGCCTGAGATAGGAGGATAGTAAGTTCAAGGCTAGCTTTGGCAACTTAGCAAGGCCCTATCTCAAAATAAAAAAACATTAAAAAGGCTGGGGCTATAGCTCAATAGTAGACTACTCCAAGTTCAATCCCCAGTGCTGCAAAAAAATAAAATAAAATTTTACTAAGTTAACCATGAATATAAAATTAAATTTAATCACTTCACCAAAAAAGCAGCACTTTGAATGAGATATGAAATCCCATAGAGACAGCTGGGCCAGCTAAGTAGTACATGGTCTATGATCTACAACAACTTCCATTTGAAAGTAATAACATACTTTTGAGATCACTCAGAAAGTGTAAATAATGTAAATATACTTGTAAGGCTTGAAGTATAGAGCAGTAGAGCACTTGCCTAGCATAAAAGAGGCTCTGAGTTTGATCCCCAGGACCACAAAAAATAAAATTTGTCAGATGGAGAAATAAATTATCCAGTCTACCAATATTTAATAAGTACTTTCTATTAAATTCCTATGAGAAACAAACCCCCATCATAAAATTACCACAAAAGATAGCTATCAAACCATTTTCCTTAGGAATAACCTGACTATGAATACACACCATTTTGCAAGTCAGAAATAGAGAAAGATTATTCTGGTGTTAAGGGCAAACATGTGCTGCCCTTTACTCTGATTAACCGGCAGACTCTGAGAAGTGGGCTTGTTGTGATGCAGTGCTGTAAGGCTCCAATATATCGCACTTACTATTAGCTGGCATCTTGGAAAAAAACCTGGAGGATCATTTAAGGCTCACATTTCATTTGGAGATTATAAATAGCAAGTGCCTCAGCTGCTTGAGTTTCTGGTTTCTTTTCTATTAGCGCCCCTTAGTGGCTAAGTCACAGAATGGTCTTCTAGGTAGAATTAAATTTAGAATGAAACAGTAGAAGATGGGTGAACTCACCTAATAGCCTCTTTAACTGTAATCATAATGCCACCTTGGGTGGCAGCTCTAAACTGACAGAGAGAATGGAGAGAGGGTATAGCTTTGTCCAATCCTGCAAAGCCTTTCAGGCTGGAAATTGCCTTCCTCCTTTCCAGTTTTTCCAGAATCCATAATAAGATCTCTTGGCAAAATGACCTGGCAGAAAAAGCAGTTATGAATGAGCTTGTCATCTTACACTATGCTTCTAACAAGCTAACATAAAAAAGGAGAGAAAGACTGTCAGGTTCCACTGCATTCTAAATGCTGGCACCATCACCTAGTTCAACTGAAACACAGGAGAGGAAAGTAGGCATCTTGTGAATTTCGGAATGCAAATACCCTAAAATTCAATGAGTGCCTGACTAATCCTTGGCTCTGGAGGCAACCCTGATATGCCACGTGAGCTGCACGTGATCTTTTCTCTTTTTTTTTTTAATCCCTTTTGGTAATTGCAAGTGTACCACTGCCTTTGGACCAGGCACTTAAATGAAAGCTTACACTGATAAAAACCACCTATTCTCAGTGGGACCAACAGCTTGTGAACAAGAAACAGCATACCAACAAAATACTGCAATTTCCTCATACCCTTTTATCTAGATAGGAATGGAATAAACATTCATATCTTCTTTGTTGGTCTTTGATGAGGACATAACAGTGCTGTGAGGACTTAGATTTTAAAACTGAAACAAATTATTATATGGACAATCCTTTCAAACTAAATTCAAAAGCTCTGAAGCTTTCATCATCTACTGCATCCTTTCTTGTCATTGTCATTGTGGCTACTGGCTACAATGATGAGCTAAGTGAAACCTGAAAAACCAAAGACAGTATGTGAGCTTTCAATAATAAACAGAGTGAGTATCTTCTTCCAACCATGGTAATGATAGCTATCATTTAGTGAGCTTACTATTTGCCAGGGACTGTGCTAAACACTCTAATGCATATTTAGCCTTCATCATGACCCTGCAAAGTAGGACTATTATTTATTATCAAATTACATTTTAGGGAAACACCCAAAATCAGAATTCTATAGGACTTTAGAAAGGATATATATGAACTCTTATCAGGAGGAAGAACAATAAGTGACTGTGAAAATATGATCGATACATAATGAGTGCTACTTAAATTTTAACATAGAATATTTTCTGGATAACTGAGATTTTGCATCACCAATACCAAATCCCAAGGTAACTTACGATGTGCTACAGTCACGCAAATTTTTCAGACTTGATCTCTAACTCTCCACAAGGTTATTAAGAGCCACCCTTTGTTCCTCCTTCCTAGACATATAATTGCAGTATTTTTTCACAGATCAAACAGTAGCGTGTTTATATTTGGAAAAAAAATTTCATCCCTATAGTCTAGGACTGAGGCTGAGGAAAGTCATCTAAAAATTATATCCACTCCCCCTCAATCTACAAAAGTCTTTATTTTTTCTAGATGAGGAGAATAAAAGGATCCCCAAATGTTTTCCTGACTTATAAAAAAAAAATAAGTCAAGAATTCACTATACAAACAAATAATATTCTACTCATAAGCAAATAAGGTTCTGCTGATTGTTTACCTTATATGAGACACACTCTGCTTGGTAAAACAGTAGAGAGAAAAGAGCACTCCCAGGACCGGAAGCAGGGAATCCAGCAACACTGTTAGAGGCTCATTCCCGACCACATATACCTAGAGAAAAGGACATGGTGAGACACACTACTGCTACAAGGCCAGAGTAGTGGGAAACAGATGTCAGACACTTAGCAGGGGTAGAGTCTTACCTTAAGCAAAACTCTTTTCCTAAGGCACATGATTTTATCCTGAAGGGAATGCCTAACATGGTGATGAAACCATTTTAGTCTGGCAAATAAGCTGAAACAGAGACACTGAACTTGAGCACCTTTCCATATGTGCAGCTGTAAAGTGTAAATTAACATGTTTTCTGACCTCTTCCTGTCCTAATTTTGGCTACCTCTGAGTTTCCTAATTTCCCTGTTATTCTTCTATGCAATAATTGTCCTTCTGCCCAAGGCCTGCTATTTGGAACTAAAAATTACCTGCAAATAGGAAAACTTTAACCAGGCGCGATGGCGCTCACCTGTAATCCCAGCTGCTCAGGAGGCTGAGACAGGAGGATTGAGAATTCAAAGCCATCGTCAGCAATGGTGAGGGGCTAAGCAACTCAGTGAGACCCTGTCTCTAAATAAAATAAAAAATAGGGCTGGAAATACGGCTCAGTGATTGAGTGCCCCTGAGTTCAATCCCCAGTACCAAAATAATAAGAAAGGAAGGAAGGAAGGAAGGAAGGAAGGAAGGAAGAAAAACTTTAAACTAGACTTGGAGGGCTAGGAATATAACTCAGTGGTAGAACATGTGCTTAGCATATATGAGGCTCTGGGCTCAATCCCTAGCACTGGGGGAGAAAAAAATTAAGTTTTAAAACCCCTAGATTTCAAACAAAATGTAGGTTCCTCATCCTTAAGATATAACTACCACATGGGCATGTCCTATTCTCTCCAATTCAACAAATGTTCAAAGAAAATATTTTGCACATCTACATTTGCACTGGCTTTGTACAGTTAAGTGTGAGAATGTTGGCTTTTAACAATTCTTCTGTTATATTATAATAATTCAAGGTAGATAATTTAAAGTGCCTAAGGAAGGGCAAAACTACTCAAAACTCCAATCAAAGGAAACTCAGTAGGAGTTGGGAGCAATAGTGCACGCCTTTAAACCCAGCTACTGGGGCTGGGGATGTGGCTCAAGCAGTAGCGCGCTTGCCTGGTGTGCGTGCAGCCCGGGTTCAATCCTCAGCACCACATACAAACAAAGATGTTGTGTGCGCCGAAAACTAAAAAAAAAAAAAAATATATATATATATATATATATATATATATATATATATATATATATAAACCCAGCTACTCAGGAAGGTGAAGCAGGAGGATTATGAGTTTGAGGCCAGCTTCAGCAACTTAGTGAGATCCTGTGTCAAAACAAAAAATAAAAAGGACTGGGGAATCTGGGCATATGCCTATAATCCTAGCTCGGGAGGCAGTGGAGGAGGATCATGAGTTCAAAGCCAGCCTCAGCAATTTAACAAAGTGCTAAGCAACTCAGTGAGATCCTATCTCTAATAAAATATAAAATAGGGCTAGGGATGTGGCTCAGTGGTCAAGTGCCCCTGAATTCAATTCCTGGTGCCCCCCCCAACAAAATAAAGGACTGGGGATGTAGTTCAGTGGTTAAGTACCCCTGAATTCAACCCTAACTATGGAAAAAAAATACACAATAGGATTTCAAAATGTAATTCTATTATAATAAATTATAATCTGATAGTAACACTGGGCACAGTGATACATGTAATCCCAGTGACTGAGGAGGCTGAGGTAGGAGGATTCCAAGTTCAAGGCCAGCCTCAGCAACTTAATAAAATGAAAAATGAAAAGGGCTGGGGGTGTAGCTTAGTAGCAGAGCACACCTGATAGTATGGACAATGATAATGATGACAAAAGAGACAGAAGAAGAATTGACAATGACTGTGTTCTTAGTATTTTCCAGGAACTATGTAGGTTTGTTGTTGTTGTTGTTTTTTAAATGGTAGGTTTTTATCTTCCAGGTACTATGCTAGATTCTTTAAAGAGTTCATTAAAATCACAACACTCTCCCAAAGTCAGTGTAAGAAGCCCTATTTAAAGATGAGGAAAGGGAAGCTTAAAGAGGCTCTTATTTATGGAAAAAATACCAAGGTAGAACTCAATGCTGTTTATAGGAAACAAAGGCCATGAAGGCACTTGTACAGTCTGGGAAAAAAAATCTCTGAGCTTTTCCTAATTTTTCACACTGCTTAAGCCTCCCGATTCCTCTGTGGAGCCTGATAACCAAAGAGCCAGCTTCCTGTGCATGATCTAATCTCTGTAAACCCAGCTAAATGAAGTGCCTTGTATGGCAATGTTCAGAAGTAATATGCAGGCCTAATTATGGTACCAAGAGTTACAGGAGGTAAAATAAGAGATTCCCCCAGATAACATAAGGCCCTATTGTTTGGTTCTGGATCCTGTGTTATCCAAGGTAATCCCTGTGGAGCCATCCTTCTTTACCTTCTTTTAAAACAGAAAGAAAAATCAAAAACAAAAAAACAAAACCAAAAAACAGATGGAGCAAATCTCCATTACTGACTGGCCTGACAGGGTCAAAGTACCTCAAATTTAAAGATGACTGAATAAACACATTTCTTGGGGGGTATATGTTACTATTGATAAATTCCTCTAATTTTTTATACTCTTTTCTCTTATACTTTTTAGTATTTTATTACAAAGAATAAGTACTACTTTTATAATTAGAAAATCTACATAGCTATTTATACATATATATCATTTATTTTATATATGGTTCAGCAAATGTCTACTGAGCACCAGTTACATGCTAGGCATGCCTGTGGTGCTGTGAATACAACAACAGTGAGCAAAGCCTCTTCTTCAAAAAAGCTCACATTCTAGTGGGGGAGACTAGACAACATCAGGTAGAGACAAGTGACAAAGGGAAAAATAAAACAGGCTAAAGAAATACTGATGAGAGGAAGAGCTTGTAGAAGGAGATGTGAATATATTTTGTATACAACCAGAGATATGAAAAATTGTGCTCTATATGTGTAATATGAATTATAATGCATTCTACAGTCACATATAACAAATTAGAATAAAACTTTTTTTAAAGCAATTAAAAGGCCTGGAGGTGTAACTCAGTAGTAGAGCTCCCATAATCAATCCCCAGTATAGCAAAAATTTTTAAAAATTTAATTTCCTACTTCAGCCCTTATAGAAGACATGATTAAGTTATATGTTATCTGAATTTTGAGGGAAGCAGCAGTTTGAACATAGTAGGATTCAAAATGATGGACCCCACTGTTATTTTTTGTTGGTTTTGAGAAAGGTCTCACTATGCAGCCCAGGCTGGCCTTGAACTTGTGATCCTGCCTCAGAAGGCTCCAAGTAGCTGGGATTAAGGATATGTAACACCATGTCCAACTTATTATTGCTTTTATGAAGTAAAGAATAACTAGTAGGTCTTACATATTCATTCAAAGATAAACCAGATATTTAAATATTTAACAACAAAAAAAAATCAATCCTCCCAAGCATTCTGCATATTAAGAATTTTTGTCCCTGTGCTAAAAGTGTGAAAAACTGAGGCTCAGAGAAGCTAAATCAGTTGAGCAAAGACATACCAGTAACAAAGGCAGTGCTAGAATGAACCCAAATCTGTCTGACTTAATCCAATCACAATACATAAGGGAAAAAAAGCAGATTAGTGGTCAGGGGCTAAGAAGAGAGAAGAAGGGGGCCTGATTGCTTAATGGATACAGGAATTCCATTTGAAGTGATGAAAAAGTTCTGGAACTAGGTAGTGTGATGTTGGCAACACTGTGAATGGATTTAATACCACGAATTATGCATTTTCAAATATTTAAAATTTGAATTATTCATTTTCAAATATTTTAAATGAAAAAGTTTATGTTTTATATATTTGCAATTTAAAAAAAAGTATCTGGTGGTATGATTCAGTGGTGCAGCGTGTGCTTAACATACACAAGGCCCTGGGTTGAATCCCCACTAACAAAAAAAAAAACAAAATAAAAACAAAACCAAAACATGTGCCCCCCAGCCTCTCAATGCTCACCTCCCCTGTGCATAATATTTTCATTGCTACAGTTCCTAAACCATACCAATTTTATTCCCCACCCTCAGAATCAGTAGATCCCAGGTGATTAGGCTGTTAATAACCCTAGTCCTTCAACCTCTGCAAAACAGAGTTGAAGTTTCTGAATGGCACCATGGACAGCAGCTTCTATAACAACTCCCCTTCCTCCTACTTAAAGTATTCTCATACAACTCCCTTTTATCAAGTCAATAGATCTCCAGGGCCATAACTGGCCAGCACTTTTCAAGGACAGCCCCCTCTTTTCAATCTTGTGCCTAGTTCTGAACTCACATGCAGGTTAAAAATTTGGCCTACACCTAACATCCAATGTTATCCTCTTTACACTCCCAAAGGAGAATCCGTCATTTCTCCCTTGATGTGAACTACCGTGATCATTGGCTTATATGTGGAGTTAAAAACCTATTCAGGAACATCGGTGGCTGGAGTGATCAGCCAATGCTGCACCATGATCTCTTGGTGCCAGCACTGACAATGACCAAATTGCCCTAGAGAGAAAATAGTCCTTTCCATGAAGTCATACTACATATGAAGGAAAACGCGGGGGCCAGTTCCTTCTAGTCTCCTCTATACTAGGCTGGTGACATGCTGATTGAGGAAGCAGTGAAAGAACGGTATGTACGATATTCCTGCCCCACTGATATGGGAGGCCTTACTGCCCCACCTCTGTGCCCTACCATCTAGACATGTGGAATCTCCTTGGAATGTGCTTACATGTAGTATCTTTCTAGTGAGCATGGGTGGGAGGGGGGGGATGTCTTCCCTGCTCAACTGGAGGCAAAGTGGGATGAGAATTCAGTTCTAAAATGCAATCCAATACTCCATGAATAGTTTCTACCTGTGGTGAAATATCCTAAGAAGCATATCAATGGAAGTTTCCTTTTCCAGTGGTATAACTGTTGGGCATATATCATGTAGAGTCATTTGTAAATACTTCCACTAACCAGTTGTGTTACTTAACACAAATCAAT